GGAAGGCTTCAGAATTAGAAAATTGTGGTGCTGCAAAGACTCCTAGTTGTCTCCTAATATTCATACTTCCCTTTGTATGGTAATAGAACCAAATTTTTAATTGGACACGTTGCTTCCCAGAAAAAAGGCTACATCTCCCAGGACCCCTTGAGACAAAGAAGTCTGTGAGGCTGTGTTCTGGCCAATGAGATATAATGGGATATAGAGTATGGGACTTTTTCAAGTCTCTTAGAAAGCAGGAACAGTGTCTCTCTCCTTTTAATTCCATTCCACTCCTTGGAAGAGATGGCTGGAGCTCTGGCCATCTTTTAGGGTCATGAAGATGAAGACCAGGTCTTAGAGGTAGTGGAACAGAGAGCTAGAAGGAGCCTGGTTCTCACTGACTGCTGATCTGGCCTGAGAACCCCTGCCTGCTGCCTCTAGATTTCTTTTCCTTAAGAGACAAGGAAATCTTTATCATGAGTCATCACCATGTTTTAGGTTGTTTTTTTTTTAATATTTATTTATTTATACAAGAATGGGGGTACAGGCCAGATGCGTGGGAGGGTGAGAGGATTCACCAGAGACAGATTCTTTTTACAACTCTCTGACTTTTGATCACCTGTGCCTTAGCTTACTGATTCTTCAACTAGAATAGCCCCAATTTTCAATTTCTCACCAACACCTCTGTCCTGTTCCACTCAGGAAATTTACATAATATTCTTTCCAATTCAGACATATTAGCATCATAGATGTATGTATGTACATACATGTTTACACATACATACATTTGTAATTACATCTGTAATAATTAATGACCTTATCTGGAAAATGAGGTGGAGTTATTATCCTCACCTTAGACAAAAGGAGACAACTTAGAGGCATGTGGGGTTCATATAAGATCACACACATCATCCCTGGTGGAGCTGAGACCAGAAGTTCATGTTCAGATTTCTAGTCCCAGCACCACAGCTCCCCTCTCCAAATTTGAAAGCCGCTCATGTAGACTGTCCATCAATCAGTCCTCACACTTCTATTATGATTGCTGCTGCCTCCTTCAGAGAGAGATTCATTCTGATCCACATATATTTTTGAGGATGAAAGATTTGTCACATTTAATATTTGAATAATATTTTTATACTTTCCAAAGTGCTTTCCTGTACATTATCTTATTTGATATTCACTTTATGTCTGTAAGGCAGGTAAGGCAGGAATTTACTTCCCCCCCCCCCTTTTCCATATGAGGAAACAAGTGCCTGAATAATCTCAGTGATAAACAAGAGATCACAGAGAAAGTTAATGAGAGAATTGGACTGTGTCCTCTGATTGGGGAATTATACTGTTAAGGGTAGATATAGGGAGTATACCCTTTTGATTAGTTAGAACAAATTCTGCAGTGAACACCAGATCAGACACCCCACCTAAGTGATTCAGTGGTTCTTGTACTCTTTTTAGATGCCTTGTGAGAAAAGTCAGACTTTCATCTACTTTTCTTTGCCACCCTCCATATCCAGGTCGATCAGTTACTGTTGAAACACCAGCACTCTTGTGTATTGTAAACACTCACTCACATGCCAGAAAATTGTCAGTACAGAACTGGCCCTGTCCGGTGCAGAAGAGTCCTCAAAGAGTCAGTACAGCAGATTCTCAGAGGAGTGAGGGATCAGTGTGACTCCATTAATCCTCAGGTCATGGAGGCTGGGGCCTGTCTGGCTCTCTGGGACCTGGTATCAATAGAGGGTCACAGAATGAGCCCTGCACTGGATGTCAGTACACGGGGCTTTCTGCCTCAACCCACTTCTAATTTGTTCAGTGGCCTTAGGTAAGTCAATTGACCTCCCTAGGCCTCAGTGCCTGAAGCTTTACCAGGAGAAGTCTGGAGATGCTTGTATGGTTTAGAGTTGCTACAACAAAGTAGCACAGACTGGGGGCTTAAACAACAGATATTTTCTCATAGTTCTGAAGGCTTGACATCCAAGTTCAAGGTGTAGTCTCTTCTTCTTCAAGGACACCAGTGATATGGACCCACCCATATGCCCTCAATTTAGCTTATTACCTATTCAAAGACCCCCTTTCAAATATAATCACATTCTGCTACTTAGAACTTCAGCATAAGGATTTTGAGGGGACATAAATCAGTCTATAGCTATGCTTAACTTTGGTGAGCAGAATCATTCAAAACTTTAAAAATAAAAATTTCTCAACCCTAAATCCCATAGTTCTAAGAAGCATGGACCCAGGGGTTGGCCTATTTTGAGAGTGCTCAGGAGATGAGCATGCAAGGTCATGTGCAGGGCCCTGTGGGTAGAAGACTCCAGGAGTCTCATGTCTAATACACCTTATATTGAAGAATCAGGAGGCCAGGAGGGAAAGGCATTCTTCTATGGGACTGTGTTAGAGTAGAATGAAGGCACAGATTGGGATGGGGCTGTCTTAAGGTGCCCCAAAGGGTTGCCAGCTGCCTTTTGATGCACAGAGAAACTGAGGCAGGGGCGATAGATTGTCAGATGGGAAACAGAGACTCTCCTCTCCACCAGTGCCCCCAGGAACACTGCAGCCTAAATCTGATTTCTTTTTCTGTGGAGTAACTGATGCACCTGACTATAATTGTGGTAAGAAATTCTGAGCTTTGGACTAAAACAAGGGATCCTAGGAAAGGTGAGAAGAGTGAAATAGTCAGTTTCTCATCTAGGGAGTTCAGACTTAATGATCAAAGCAAGGGCTGGGAGGATAGTGTCTGATGTTAAAAGAAACACGGGTCCCTGAGGCAAGCCCGTTTGCTTCAGATCTTTTTCTGCCATTTACCAGCATGTGATGCAGAGCAGGTCACTTGGCATTTCAGAGGCCTGGTTTCTCCTTCAGAGCATTGTCCATTAGCAGTGGTTCTGAGAACTTGGCTGGACCCACTTGTAAACTGCTTCCTTCAGGCCTGCGATGAGTGGCCCTGGGTGATCAATCACTATCTGCTCTTCTAAAACTAGGTTTCCCCTTTTTCAAGACTGTACTTCATAGTTGATCAAGGGGGTGGAGGGAGGAGGGGGGAGGGAGAGAGATGGGGGGTGGGGCTAAGGAGGAGGAGCAAAGGAAAGTCAGCATCGCAGCACTGCAATACAGCCTTGCAAGCACCGATCTCAGCAATGTATTAAATCTCTATGTATTAAATCTATGTATTAAATCTCATTCCTCAACAGAGTTGAACTGGAGACTCAGTCAGTCATGTGCAGGTTGTGAAGCCAAAGTCATCTCCTGCAGAGCGAACGGCCCTGGGTGGAGAGTGCTGACACCGGGATGGGCTGAGAGTCCATCTTCTGTTCCACTTCTCATATCACCATCGATCACTGGGGATGGCAGCTAACATTTGCATTCCTAAATCAGTTTTTAAAACAAATGGCTTATTTACATTGTCAACTTGCGGAGTTAAGAGCTGGGTTTAATTGTCATCTCCAGTTTTTACATCAGTCCCATTTTCCAAAGCCCAGAGGTTGCCACAATGCCTTGGAAATGTAGGGAAGTCAATGAGAATCCAAAGAAGTTGCGAAGGAGGTAGAAGGAATGGATGAGCAGAGGGAAGCGCTCAGTGGAAAGTGAACAGACCATTGGAACAAAATTGTTTTCTGGTTGTTCCTGTATTGGCTTTTCTCTGCAACTGGGCCATAGTTTCCTTGAGAAGCTGTGCCCTGCTGGGATGTCTGATGCCCAGTGGCTTGTGCCTGCCACCAGAGAGCAAACAGGCCATGCACACTCACTGAGCTGAGCGGGAAGGATGTGGTCATGGAGGGAAGTGAGAACCACCTGGTCTAGGAGGCCATGCCTGGGGCTGGGGTGGTCTGGAGCAAATGGGCACCAGACCCTGTGTCTGGAAGATGGACCGCTCCCTTGCTGATCACGTGACTCGGTCATCACATGATCTGCCCAGAAGTGAAGCCATAATAGACTAATAATGTGTTTCCTCCCAGGCCCTCTGTGCCACATGAGCACTTCTGGGGAGCCCGAGGAAGCTGGTTACAGTGGGTTTCATTTCTTTTAATTTTATGAGCAGAACTCCTGGGTTGATCAGCTTGAAAGGAAATGATGATTTATAAAGTTTCTTTTCTTCCCTGTGCTCTCTTCCTGGTGTTTACCAGGAGAAACTGTTTCCTCACAAGGTGCATTTTCCATTCAGCACATAGTCCTCTGTTATTAATTTTGTTTTATTTATTTATTAACCTCTTTCCTTTAGGGTTTCACACTTTGTTTTGAGGGCACACCCTTCCTTGTTTCTCTATGTATTAAATCTCATGGTGGATCATTGATTTCAGGCTGTTTTTGAGGAGAGGGGCTGTAGCATCTCGCTAGTAGTGGCTCTTGCTGGATTTTGACAGCCTTGAATGTTCCAGATGGTTATTTCCGCTGTTCCTACCCCAAGCCTGCAGCCTCGGTACCTTACTTTGGTTGACATCCAGATATCTTGCGAGGAGAGTACCCCTTGGTGCAAAGTGCCCCCTAACACATTGTGGGGGGCAAATGGCCTCTTCACTCTCTTCTTAGAAATACCACTCCCTGTTCCTTCTGTCCTCCTCACTACAGTGTCACAGACAACACAGGAACTGGACTTTAGACACAGTGCCCCTAATACCCAATTCTGGCTTCATCATGGAACCAGTTGGCAAAATAACCTTCTCATCCAAGCTTCATGTTTTCCCTTATGAAATAGGATATACCATTTTGCAGGTTGTTGTAGAGAAAGAAAGAGGAAGAACACAGAATTGCCCATTGGGTCCATGAACGTGTCTGAAATGTTGCTTTGCAGCTCCCAGGGTTAACAATCTTGTCTTATATCTTTCTTCTCTTCCAGAGAAAATAATCTCCTTTTCCTTTCCTCTTTTCACTTGTGACTCAAAATATGGACCAAACCATAGCAGAAAGCATGCACTTAGGAAACAGCATGTTGAGGAAACGTACAGGACATCTGAAATACATCAGGTAGAGTTTTACAAGCCTCTTCACCTCCTTCTTATCTAACTGAATCCACTTCCTTCCAGCTCCAGCATTCAGGATGCATCAGAGACTCTGCTCCTGATTCTACGGTATGATTTTTTTTTTCTGTTTTAATTACTAGTATTGCAACAGTATTTTTCCTGCTGTTTTTCTTTGCAAATATATGTTATTTCTGTTACATTATGGTTTAAATGGGCTTTTGAGTGGGAGCCAAGGAACCTAACCATCATTTTCAATATGGTTTCTATGGGAAAATCTAATACTTCCAAACAACCTTCTGAAACATAAGTGTGAGGAACACAGCCTGTATATGAGGGGAAGGTTGTCTCTGTGGCTCTCATTTTTGCAAAGCAATTTTGTATTATTTATTATGCTTTTTTGTTTGTTTGTTTGTTTTGAGTATATTAGGTTGGCAGAGCAAAACCCTGTGGTCCAGAAAAATTACAACAGTTGAAATAAATCACATAGCAGACAGGGCCTACAACTTTTGCTTTTAGGCCCTGCTTCTTCCCTGATCAGGGCACTTTCTAGCTTTCGTCCATCAGAGGGGACTGTACATTGTGCAAGCAGGTGACCTCCTGGATTCAGTAGACATTTGTGCTTGACTTCCAAGTCTATCCCTCAGGGCCTTCACCAACCACTTCTTTGTTCTAGCAATAACATTACCCCTGTAATGTTATTCCCTGTGGGGGAAACTTACCCACTGGTAATGCCTTGTGGAGACACAGTGGCCAGGAGCTGTGTGTGATGGAGAGAGGTGATTAACACTATCTTACTACATTACTCGATGCTGCAAGTGCCAAGCCATGTTGGTTCATTTATTCACAACTATTTGCCAAGGGCCTATTTCACTACTGCGTGTTGTGCTGAACAGCGCAATAGTGAGCAAGGTCAGAGGTGGCCCTTGTCTTTTCTGAGTTTCCAGTCCAGTGGGAAGGCATTGAAACAAAATGTAGTCTATGCTATCTCAGGGGAAGAGCATGGGCTGGTGGAAACAGATGGCTGGCATGGCACAAGGAGAGGGTAGAATGCCTCCTTCTGAGATTCATGGTTTCCATTTAAAAGATACTAGTCAAATGGACACAATGTGCCCAGAACTGTCTTGGACTCTTCCTTTGGCCATTAAGTTAGCATTTCAACCTTCAAGGTGCTCATAATTGAGTAAGAGGGCCAGTTAACTTTTGCTGCATAACACACAGCCCCAAAATTTTGTGACTTAAGGCACAAACATTTCTTATTTCTCATAAGTATGTGGGTCAACTAGATGAAACTTCTAGACTGCATTGGCTGATTATCTCCATGGTTAGCAGGCAGCATGGCAAGAACTAGAGGTCCTAGGATGGACTCACTCACATATCAGGCTGGTCTAGGGCCCAGTTAGGCAGCTGATCTCTGCACCCGACCAGAGGCTGCATTCCTCAGGAGACTGGCCTCTTTTCCTGGAGACACTGCAGTCCCCACGCACAAGCACTTGTGAAGCCTGTGCTTGAGTAGTGTACGTGATTGACATGGTTGTCAAAGCAAGTCCATGGCCAAGTCCAAAGTCACAAGCGGTGGATAAAAGGAGGTGAAATATACCACAGACATATTAATAAAAGCATTAGTATATAATGATGCATGGAGGAGAAAGTGCAAGAAAGAGAGAGACAGAGTGAGAGACAGAGTGCCCAATGAGACGCAGAGGTGGGAGGGACTAGCAAGGGGAAATCAGGAGAGGCTTCTATATAGATGTACATTTCTGTCTGCTGGGTGAGAAATGGTTGAGCAAAAAGAGAATAGGAGGCAAGGCCCTGAGCATATTGATGATGTATTTCAGAGGTGATGGTGACTGTGATCGCCATAGACAGCCCAGGGAAGCTAAATCATTTTGGCTTGACTAGCCATTTCCCAGAAAATTACTCTTTGTCTTTATAGAAACTATGTTTTAGAAAATAACCAGTCAGCCACTCTCTAATTTTTTTTAAGCATTTCTAATGCAATACCATGACAAATCTGTGTAATCAGTTCCCTTAACAGGGAACACAAATACAAAAAAAAAAAAAAAACTAAAGATGTATGGTAAAATTCCCTTTTTTTATTCTTAATAGTGTGTTAGGAAAATTCAAAAGATTTCCAATTCAATCTTAAAAACTTAGTCTACATAGGAATGCAAAGACAATCCAATATTAAACAAACTGTTACTTTAATAGCACTGACATAGCAAGGACATCATATTTCACAAATCTTTGTTCTGTTTGTTCATTGACAAACTCTCTAGTCCAGTTGAAATCTTTGTAGGCAGGGACCAATTTTAAACGTTTACTTTTTTCCTCCTAGTGCTTAAAAGAGTTCTTTAAATATATCAGTCACTCAATAACTAGTAATTGAATGGAATAGTGAATATAACTTATTTGTGTATATAAAAATATTTTGAAAAATAAAAATAAAACAGTACTATAAAAAGGCATTTGAAATTCAAACTTCATTCAAGATAGTAGGGTTAACGTATTAGAATAGACATATATTTCCTTAATTTGATTAAAAAATATGTATTTTCTATACCCCAGTAAGGATTATGCATAATTTTAAGACTTTAAACCAGTCACATTAAAGTTAACAAGATAAGAAAGTCTACTACTGGAGGTACTTGCCTATGAAGAAATAAGCGGTATAAAATTTGCAAAGGGGGAAGTAAAAACTACTATTAGTAACTTCAGATTGTATAAGTGGAAAACAAAATGAATCAATGTAAAATATAAGAACTACAAGATAATTTGGTGAGGAGGTTTGTATAAAACAATATTCAGATATGAGAAGCCTTTATATATACAAATAATTGGTTAGAGTATACAATGGAAGAAAGACACTAAGCATAATAGCAAATGATAACATACCAATATAAACATATTGCAAAGCTACAGTAATTTGAAGAGTATAATACTGGCATATGAATAGAAAGATCAATGGACTACAGTGGAAGATTCAACATTAGTCCCAAATGTATTGGGGGAAGAATGAGCAATGCCAATAATTATAATGATAACTGACAAACTGGGAATTTACTATATATTTTACCCTGACCTTTAAATCCCTATATTCAAGTTACTGCATTCATGCTCTAACCAGGGGGAATTACTGCCTCTATTTTTGCTGTATGTGCATTTGGAATGAATAACACAAAATAAATTCTTCAATAAATAATGTTGGAACAGCTATATAGTTATCCAGAAAAATATAGACTGCTTTCAAAATCACTCCTCACTCTAAAACAAATTCCAATGAACCAAAGATGTACCAAAAAAATACCAGAAGTGTTTTTAAGAATTTTCTGTTGTTGTAATAATCTAAGGGTGGGAAAAGTCTTTTAGACTTGACACAGAACTCTGTAGCCTTAAAAAACAAAAAGGATGGAAAAATTATATTATACAGATTAAAAAAAATATTTATTTTGGAAACATATAATAGATTAGAGAAATGATAGAGAAGAAAATATTTGTAACACATCTCAAATATAATGTGTGCCCAAACATCGTTAAGGAAAAAAACCTAGTAGTTTAAGTCAAACACAAGAGAAGGATATGAAAAGTTCACATAAAAGGAAATGCAGATAATCTTTGAGTGGGGAAATAGGTTGAATCTTACACATTAGGAGAGAAACTAAAGTTGTGATAAGATACCTATCAGGACAGAAATCACAAAGTGGGTTGGCACAGTGTACTGAGCAGGTTTTGAGTGACAGGAATTCATAATTATTCCTAATGGGATTATAATTCACACATTCTCTTCCAATGTTGCAAGTATGTGTGCTTTGATTCCATCTCTAGGAATTTATCCTGCACATTGGTGTTATTATTTAATGCATCATTGCATGTAATAAGGAAATATTGTGGATAATGCAAATGTTTATCAATAGGGACCTGGGTAAATAGTGACAACCACACAGTGGAATGATCTGTATCTGTTCAGTTGGTTGTAGAAGCTTCCTGTTACTGATAGGGCAATATTTCCACGAAGTACTATAACAGCGAGTATAGCATGCAACAAGCTATGTGAGAAACAGCGAAGACTTCTATCTATCATGTATTATCTCTTTCACCTATCATTTATTTATATCTATCTATCTATCTATCTATCTATCTATCTATCTATCTATCTATCTATCTATCTATCTATCCATCTCTACCTGCTTATAAATGCATAGGATATCTCTAGGAAGAGACACATAAAATAGATAACAGTAGTTATTTTGGGGGACGAGAAACTGAAAACTGGGATGCTCACTTTCACATTTTATACCTTTGGAATTTTAAAACCTGATATAAAATGCTTTTTATTTCTAAATATGAACTTTTGACAGTGACCACACTATAAATCCTCGTTAAGTAGAATGATGTTTATTTCTATTCATGATGAATATGGTTAGATTTATGAACTGATCAGAGGGAATTCTGTACAAGAAGAAAAGAAAAATAAAAGAGAAGGGTGGGTGGGCACTGAAATGAAAACCACTATTAGGATAAGAATTAACATGGAGGGACAGATAGTTGTTGAAGATTCTGATATATTTCTTTTGGCTACCCACCCAGAATTGCTGGGCCATGCAGTAATTCTTTATTTTCTGCACCCCTGTATTTATTTAAGCATTCTTCACATAGATTCAGATAAGACTCATATGTCCATCAACAGAGGAATTCGACAAAATTACTCAGTCTTCAAAAAGAGAGAAATCTTGCCATTTGTGATAACCTGGTTGAACATTATGCTAAGTGAAATAAGCCAGACTTAGAAGAACAAGTACTTCATGAAACTGCTGAATGAGATATTTAAACTAGTCACATTCATAGAAGCAGGGAAGAGAGTGATAGTTGCTAGGTGTGGAAGCAGGTGGAATAAGAGGGGAAATATTTTTCAGTGGGTATAACGTTTCTATTACGCAAGATGAATAAATTCTAGAAATCTGTTACACAACATTGTACCTACAGGATATGCTACTACATACTTTATCTTAAGACAACAGATCTCATGTTAATTGTCCTGACCAAAAAACCTACAGAAGAACACAAGGGAGTTTCTGGAGGTGATGGGCACCAAGGAAACAGTGCCTTGGTGT